ACAATTCTATATCCGAGTCCTTGAACTCCTCGCTCTCTAGAGCACGTAGCAAAGCTACACAATGTTCATCCTTGGCGTATGCCGTACGGATTAGGTCAATGACCGATGACGACAAAGTCGTAACATAAGCAAGCTCATAGTCAGGCCTGGGTGACAACGCATCAGCCAAAGTATTCTGCGTTCCCGGCTTATACTCTACCTCGAAGTTGTATTCAGCAAAGAATAAAAGCCAACGAGCCATTCCCTGAGAGAGGTGGGGCGACTGGGTCGCAGTGCGTAATGACGCATGATCTGTATAGATCACAAAAGGCTCAGAGCCGAGCAGATGAGCTCTGAATTTGACTAAAGCATACTTCATCGCAAGTAGCTCTTTGTCATGAACTGGATAGTTCTTCTCAGCTGTCTTGAGCTGTCGGTACTCAAACGCAATGACGCGTTTCTGTCCATCATCATCTATATGTAACAGAGCACTGCCGATGGCAAAGTCAGATGCGTCACAGACGACACTGAAAGGCCGATCAGGATCGAACAAAGTCAAAATTGGCGCATGAAGAAGACTCTCTTTTACAGCCGTAAAGGCTTCATGCTCGGTGTTAGTCCAACACCATTCCGTATCCTTTTTAAGGAGATTGGATAATGGCCGAGCCATGTCCGCATAGTTTGCACTATATTTGTGTAAGTAATTGGCAATACAAAGCCACTTACGTAAGTCCTTTTGGTTCTTAGCAACCGGCCAATCGACTATGGCTATAATCTTAGCGGGATCCGCTCTAAGACCACGCTTCCCAATAAAGCACCCTAAAAAGGGAATCTCTTCTGCACCAAAGATGCACTTAGACGCGTTGGAGTACAACTTATTCGTGCGCGTGAACTCGAGCACCGCTCGTAAATGGTCAATGTGATTGTCCACATCAGACCGACCGTTCATAGCACGACTATGGACAAAGATGTCGTCAAAGTACGTCTGTGCATAACCTCTATGAGGTCTGAACAATTGTGTCACAAGACGATTGAATGTATCTGGGGCGTTTGACAAGCCCTGTGGCATAACTAGCCACTCCCAGAGCATACCGCTCGGGGTGCTAACCGCTGTCAGCGGAATATCATTCTCGCGCATGAGAAGTTGGTAATAACCATCGACTAAGTCGAGCGCAATGTACATTGTACATCCCACCATGTTGTTCTGAATAACATCTTTCCTAGGGTTTGGTTTCTGAGCCGGGATCGTGGCAGCATTAAGCTTATTGTAAGCATGAACAATGCGCCACTTCCCGTTGGGCTTTCGGACACAAAATGTGGGCGTGGAATGAGGAGATTTGCTCTCACGAACCATGCCCGCTGCGTGCTCTGTACTAAAGAAGTCGTCTATGACATCACACTGCTCCTTTGGTAAAGGCCACTGCCGTGTTACGCAGTATTTAGTTCCAGGAACCAAGTCAATTTCGCGACGCCCACCTCTGTCAGGAGGTAAGACGGCGGGTCGTGACACACCACGTCCTATAATTCCTTAACCAAAGGATAAAACGGATCAAGAGGATCCTTAAGGATCGAAGACCCAATACGCGCACTAAGTGCAGCCTTTGTGTCCTCCTGGACTGATTCCTTCAATAACGAGGATGAGTTCAACTCATTATCCGGCCGAATGACCACTAATTTTGATAACTCTCCTGCCTTTAAGGCTTGGATAAATTCGCCGTCAGACATTTCATCTAGTTCAAAGCGAGTATCAAAAGATGGAAGAGTCTCAAGACTAATGTTGCCAAAAACATGGCCGGTCGTTCCATTGACAAGTGTATATAGTGTATTATCACTATTATCGCTCCTTAAGACTTCGTACGCCTGGCTCTTAACAGTTACACCCGACGTCTAAATTGTGTCCTCAAAGAAACTATACGCCTCCTAGAGGCCGGGACAGTAGGGTCTCTGTAGTTGCTATTCGGTAAAGCACGCTCTATACGAGACCTCATGTCTAGAACGACATCTGGTGAAGTGTCAAACTCGGACACTTCACCCAGTGGGTTTACACGTACCACTTCACGTTCATCCCGCGGGCCTAGCCCTGCATACTCTGGCGCTTCGCCAACAATGTCATTACCGACATTCAGTGAGGTGTCATCCCGGCCGCCCTCACTCAGTGGAATTTCACGTGCCACTTCACGTACAGCATTTGGGCCTAGCCCTGAATGCTCTGGCTTTTCACCAACAATGTCATTACCGATATTCAGTGAGGTGCCAACTCGGCCGCCCTCACTCGGTGAAATTTCACGTGCCTCCCCACGCACATCAGAGGAATTACATTCTTGATGTCTTGGCCCTTGACATTCCATGCTAGTAGCATGCAGTGACTCATTATCACAACGAGTATCACTCAAAGGAGTACAAGTCTCTTCAAATACGTTAGAAGAGCTCCGCTCAATATTCATGTCGTAGACATTCGAGTTAATTAGCTCCGACACACCAATGTCCAGCACATTGACATCTTTCGTCAATGGCTCGCGCCAATAGCGCTTTTGTTGCCTAGCGAAGGTGGATTCATGACTCTCCAAAGTTTCACTAGGAACATTGCGCGTTGCGCCTAAGGTCTTAGACTTCCAATATTCCATGGCTCATGGCTTTCTAGCCAAGCCATACCTAGGATGAGATCATATCTCGAATCCAAATCGAGGACAAGACAGCGTTCAATGCTGTCAAAGTCCAAAAACTTTACACCCAAGTTCAGCGGAACTTTAGGCACAGTAACGCGACTACCCGTCGCTAACCGAACAGTGATGGAATCACCGTCGTGCGCTTTGAGCGCTTCAGCGTATCGCTGACTTCCCTCAAGGGAACGACGTCGAGCATAATTGCATGATGCTCCTGAGTCGATCGAAATCGACCACGGCTTCTCAAAGCATTTCACTGTCGCCTCGGCGACTAACAATCCAGGCTTGTATCCACGCTCTGTTCTTGTTGGCACGGATCTCTGTGAGGCTAAGCCCTGTTTCACTCTACCTCGTAGAGAAGTGACAGAATTTGGTTATACCGCAGTAGGGAGCCTCACACCTACAGGGTGTCGACGTTTCCCCGTGCCATACCAGGTTTCTGGTTGAGGCTGGGGTTTTGACTCGTAGGAGTTGGTCGTTGCTTACGCAAAGGACCAGTGGGACGCAAGTGTCTAGTGCTTCCGCACATGTAACAGTGTGTCACGTCCTGCCTTTGCTCCGCAACATGAAGCTCCGGTTCTCCTTCATCTTCAGCATGGATGAGATCCATCGGTTCTGGCTTACCGTAAGCCGAAGTGCTCGTAGAGGTTGCCCTCGCAAAGCTTGGGTTGTACCCATTCCAACCAAGTCTGGCCGAGTTGAAGTTGTGCTCAGCGTTTTGAGCGACGCTTACAGCTTCCGTAAAAGTAGAAGGATGGACCCAAAAAACCTTGGTTCTGTCCACGCCAGTGCGGAGACCTTCCATGAAGACTGTCACGTAGACAGTCCCAAGGAGAGGGTCAGACTACATAGCAGCCATCAGAGATCTCAACTCTTGGACATAGTCCGTTAACTCACTCTTACCCTGACGGGTAGATAATAAGCGTGATCGCACGCGGTATGACTGGTTAGGCGGCGAGAAAACTCGCAAGAGGTCCAACTTGAGCGACTCCCACGTGGGGAACGCCAAGTTGACCGACGTGCCACACGTCAAAGCCCACTCTCTCGCTCTTCCATCGAGCTTAAAGATAGCCAACGAGACCCGCTGGTTCTCAAATGAGTTGAGACCAGAGTCCATGGCCATCTTAATCTCACGAATCCAGAGGGTAGGGTTTTCCCCCTCCTTCCCAAAGTAATGTTTCACGTCCACCCGAAGGGGACGAGGCTTAGCCTCTTATGGTGGCATAGCCACGTAGCGTGTCGGCATAGCCGACCATACTTGTTTTTGAACCTGGCCCAACATGGCCGTTTCGTACTGCATGAAGGTCTCGACTCGTGCATTAAGCACATCGGGACCTTGTGCAGCTAGAAAATCCACGTACTCATGGCCAACGGCCGCGGTCAGCTTATCAAGCGCGACCTTTTGAGCCTCAGAGAGGGGTGTGGATTGCTTCATCCTTACAGAGGATCAGTCGTTACCGACTCAGGCGTAGATTGACTACAAGTGCTACCAAGTGTAGCGGAGCTACACAGCTCCTTAAGTCAGAGGAAGACTTAACGCTCTTACGAACAACTTTGGTTCTACGAACCCGAATCAGAGAGTCAATAGCTCATCGAGCTTACGGTCCCCGTTCCTGAGCGACCAAACGATTCAAAAGAATCACAGCATAGAGTTCTCAGGAGCAGCTACCTTCACAGATATTGCTAGCTCCTACCGATCAAAGACGCCTCGTAAGGCACGTATCTTTCAGTGATCAAAAGGGGAACTGAACTTTATTTCGTCTTTAAACCTAAAAGAACACTATAGAACAACGTACTTAACCTAGTCACTAAGGTACTAAATATAACCTCTCAAAAGATTTCGCAATCAATTGTTGAAAGACATCAGTCTTCAACAATTGATACACGAGTTCTAATATCACTTTACAGGGTACCCCCTCTCTCTCTTGTGTGCACCACACCTATCGTGGACTACCAGTCGACGTGTAACCCCGCTACATCAGGGGCGTTTGGGCCCACACGTTGAACGATATCTGAGCGAGAAAACGTTTTTAACTTTTATAGCGTTCACTTGCCCAACAACTCATAGTAGTACGACAAGTTTTTGGTCGACAGGACACATCGCGCGAGAACAGCAGTATCTCCTCATGCCACACCGCGAATTACGAAACAAACCCTCAGCTTCTCACCACGAACGAGTGAGAGCGGCTATACACACCCACAGGTCCGATTCCCAGCGCCCCGTTTGCTGAGCTGATAATCATAATTTCAACTCCGTTTGCACGAGGCAAAAGCGACGCAAAGCCATTGTATACCCAGCGACCCAATGAGTGCTTCGTCGCAATCCATTGCTTGCATTGTATCGTGTCGGATCTTCGCATGGCGGGCGTCGGCGCTCGGGCGGCGGGTGCTGCTCCGCCACACGTAAGTGGAGATCGGGCCCTGTGGCAACTCGTGGACTCGCTGTATCCAGCGTGAAGCTTTGCCCACTCGCTCGGCCTCGAAGCTGCCGCGCAGGAAGGACTCGTGAGCGCGCGATCGCTCCCTGCGTTCCTTTCGGCGTCGCTGCATCAGGCTGCCGACTTTGCGCTGCCGCTGGTGTTTTCCTTGCATCAGACACTCGTGACTGCCCCGGACATTGTCGAGTCAGTGCGGCGGCTCAACAGTCGCGCCATTGCGCCCGATTCGAACAACGTTGCGCGCAAGGCCTCGTTCGCCCAGGGCGCGGCACTGCTGCGACTGGAGCTGTCCACCTATGCGTCTGCTAACCCACGCACGCACGTGTTGCTGCTGCTGGACATCCGGAAAGCGGTCAAGCAGCGAACGCAAGAGGGCGTTCACGATGCTGTGCTCTTTCGCGCAGGATGTGCGTTGCTGGATCTGTGGCGGTCAAGTCGATGCAGCGCATGTTTGTGTATGTGACGACGCGCGACGTATTGCGTGCGGCCACGAGATGAAATCTCATACGACCGTTTGTGTAACGGGGCAGCCCGTTACATGAAATTGTCACTTTAAGGAAAGTGACAATAAAGAATATAAAGATGGATATTCTTTAAACAATATCACCAAAGTGGTGATATTGAAGGGTCGACCAAAGGGTCTGTTCATTGGTCGATATCGTGATGATATCAACCCACCAATCGCCGCAAGACGCGCGCAATGAGTGGTGACGAGACGTCACCATACATGCAGTTATATTAGTATAGTTAAGCTAAGTCAAACAGAGAGACAGTAGTTAAAAGACTTAATTATATTAATATAACCAGTTCTGCTTATACCCTACCTACGCTTCCTCGCTTGCCACGTGTACGTCTGTCGGGGCACCGAATACCCTTGCGTTAAGTTACGCAAGGGTGTGCCCCGTTACACCTGGTAGCACTTTGTAGTCCTTCCAAGGACCACATCATCCAACATGAACATGTTGGATGAAGAAGACACCTTTCACGCCACGCGTGAAGGGTTTACCCATTTGAGTGACATCGAATGGGGTGCGGTAGAACGAATGAGTTCTACCGTAGGCGAACTCGTCGTCAGCACCATGTTGGAGTCTCTAGACAGAGACCAACAACATGCTGCTATCGCCAAGTTCATTCACAATAAACTTGCTCTCGAGAGGGAGAAAGTAGCCTTGCTTCACCAGCAAGGCTCTCAACAGGCCGAGCAGTTGAGAGAACTCGGTGCTCAACAGACAGAGCTGTTGAGACAGCAGCAATTCCATGCTGCTGTGGGCGGGACGGCGCATGCGCGTCGTCCCGAAGTCATGAAAGTTGACATCTCCAAGCACAGTGGAGTCCCGGAGGACTCCCTGTTACTGTGGTTTGTCGAACTCGACAGAGCCCTAAGGGCTCGTCGCGTCGAAGATGAGCAAATGAAACTCACATTTGCTCAGACCCACTTGGCAGGGCGTGCCAAAACTTGGTCCCTGGGACTCGAGCGTAGCGACCCAAACGTGCTTAGGTCGCTAGATGACTTCAAGTCCCGGCTCAGACAAACGTTTGAGCCGCCACGTGCTGAGTTCAGGGCTCGTTCAGAGCTCCTGAAACTCAAGCAGGGTAAGCGTGATGTGCACGCTTACGCACAACATATACGACTCCTTGCGAGTAGTATAACTGCAAACCCAGTTCATGAACACACGTTGATTACGGTGTTCATGCAAGGGCTCGCAGAGGGGCCCGTCAGGAGCCACCTGTTCCGCCTTGAGCTGAATACGCTTGAAGAAGCGATATCAGCCGCGGAACAGGAAGACTTTAGCATGAGACAGGCTCATGCTAGCTCAAACTCTTACCGTCCACCGAGACGACAAGAGATCGGAGGTCCAGAACCAATGGACCTCTGTTATGTTGAGAGCGAGAGACCTCGCTCTACAAGCAACAAGCGATTGCAGAGGTGCAATCGCTGTCAGAAGTTAGGGCACTACGCATACGAGTGTAGTGCTCCACGCCCAGTACCAAACAGTACTGAGCGAAATGGACGACCATTCGCCAGAAAGGGCAATGGGCGTGGGTCCAGCGCTGTTGCGAAGCCGCAACAGCGAGACGGACCATCAAAAAATGGTCGGGGTCAGTAGGGGCGGAGCGCCCTACTGATCCAGCAACCTCAAGAGAATTTGCAAATCTCTTGACGAAAGTTGCTCCAGATACACAATCATTGTGTGTCTCTGCACCTGGTGATGACGTTTCGCTCATCACCTTGAAGTTGGAAGCGACAAATGATTTGTCGCTTCGTGCCCTAGTAGACTGTGGGGCGTCGAACAACTTTGTTCGTCGCCAGTCACTAGAGGGTCGTAGGCTCAAGTTCGTTGAGCGCGACATTCCCCTCACAAGGATGACAGTGCGCCTTGCAACAGGCGAATCGATCACTGTGAAGAAACGTGTAGTAGGAATCCACTACGCGTTAGAGGGCGAGCAGTACGATGATGATTTCATCGTATTAGATCTGGATGACAAATTGATGTCATCCTGGGATTACCTTGGCTCAGAAAATACGAGCCAAGGGTGAGCTGGCAGCATCGATCCGTGAAGATGCCTGCTGCTTGTTCATCAGATGGCCATCTGATGAACATCTTGGAGCGTCCACAAGCGTGTGGATGTTCTGCGAGTGAGTGCGATGGCCTCACTTGCGGTACGGTCGTTAGCACGACTGCACAAGATCACAGTGTAGTTGATCACTACACTGTGGAGCAAGCTCCCGGCGGCTGTACAGAAGTACAGGATGCGCCGAAGGTCCACCACTCGAATAAGTCGAGTGGACCGGGACATGGATGCATGCCTAGCGGGCAGCATCTTAGAAGAAAGAAATCTGTTGCCCCCAAGGGGCAACATGAAAATCCTAGGTCGACTGGAGAGTCGACCGTAGAGAATCGGTTCCTGACTGTGGTTGCACAGCCACAGTCGGAAGACGTCGAGGGAATAAGTCCCCACGTACTTGAGGAAGGAATTCCTCAAGAGTCGCTTGCTGAGGGATCAGGCCCTCAGCAACCTGTGGAAGCAAGTTCCCAGGAAGAAACCGAGACGTTGAACGTCTTGGTTAATGACGGATCAAGCGTAGGCGCTTATACGCTTGATCTGATTGTGCTTCCGAAGTTGACTTCGGAGATAACTCAGTTGCCGACGCTAGAACCGAAACGGTTCTTGCGTGATCTGCGTAGTGGCAAAGTCAAGCAGATCTGCATACTCGTCACAGAGGACGAGTATGTGACCGACATTCGGTCGGCAACAGTATTTGCTGAGAACGAACGGGTTCTCAGCAGCTCATCGATGGACGAAAGTGTCCTCGATGAGAAGACTCGGATTGAGCGATACAGCGTCCCAATCCTGGGAGTCACTTCAGGCAAATCCTTTGTATAAGGATTTGATTGAATTCAGGGATGTGTTTCCTGAATCCGTACCTTGCGAGTTGCCTAAGGACAAAGGCACTCGACACGAGATCGAGCTCAAACCGGGCTCGAAATACTGTGTCATGAAGCAGTGGCCACTGCCTCGTGAACAAGTGATAGCGATCGACAAGTTCTTTGCCGATCGCTTAGCAGCGGGCCATGTGAGGGAATCAACATCCCCTCACAGCTCTCCGACCTTCTGTGTGCGAAAGGCCACAGGAGGGTGGCGGATAGTGCACGCATTCAACAAATTGAATGCTGCAACGGTACCGGCTCAGACGCCGATACCGAGGAAGGACGTAATCATAGATGGTATGTCTAAGAGTACCATCTTTTCGTCCATGGATCTGATGGATGGATTCTATCAGATCCTGATGCGTGAACGGGACGTCCCGTTCACGGCAGTGAGTACCCCTTGCGGGATGCTGTGGGAGTGGCTAGTGATGCCACAGGGGCTGAGCAATGCCCCTGCAACATCCAACAGATGTGTCACAAATCTGTTGAGACCGGTGCGAGACTTCGCACCGAGTTACTTCGACGATGTGTTCGTCCATAGCCGGGCTATGGACGGAAAGACGGACGTGGAAGTTCACAGAACTCACGTTCGTCAGGTTCTTCAACTTATGCGCAAGTATAAGTTGTACACCAACCTCAAGAAGTGTATATTCGCGGCTAGCGAAATACCGCTTCTTGGGTGCATCGTGGGTAAACACGGCGTACGCCCTGATCCCGAAAAGATCAAGGCGATCACCGACTGGCCAGTGCCAGTCGATGTCAAGGGACTAAGGAAGTTCCTTGGTCTAGCGGCGTGCTTGCACAAGTACTCGCGCAACTACGCCGAGATGACTGTTCATCTTTCTTGATTGCTCAAGAAAAATGTCAAGTGGTCATGGAACGCTGAGTGCCAGCGTTACTTTGAAGGTATCAAGCAAAGCTTGATGCAATCGCCGATCTTGGCGATTGCAGATCAGGACAGACCATTTCATGTGGTCTGTGACGCCAGCGATTTTGCAATCGGCTGAGCGTTAATGCAGTTCGATGCAGATGGCGCGGAGCGCGTCATCTGTTATCAGTCGCGTCAGCTGCAAGCAGCTGAGCGTAATTACCCAGTTCATGACAAGGAACTCCTTGCCATGAAATACGCACTGGCTAAGTTTCGCGTCTATCTCCTGGAAGATAGACCGTTTGTTGTCTACACGGACCATGCGTCACTACGCACGGCCGTAAACAGCCCACACCTCTCGCAAAGAATGGCGAGGTGGCTGTCTTTCTTCGCGGAGTATAACTTCTCCGTGGAGTATAAACCGGGACGACTCAATGTCGTCGCGGATGCTCTTTCGCGCCGGCCCGATTTCGAGCCGGACGCACAATCCAACAGTGAGGATAAGCCCACTGTTGCGACACTGTCAGTCAGTGTCCCGTCGTCAAGTCTACTTGACGACGTACGAAAGGCATACGCGGAAGATAAGGATCTTCTGCGATTGATGGATCATCTGGTGAATCCATCTAGTAAATCCATGAGGGATTTACCGGCTTTGTACCGATCCTCATCGGATCGGTATAGTACACGCAACGGATTGCTTTACTATACAGCTGTTGCCGACGACACGCCTCGTGTCGTCGTACCCGCTCATCATGATTTGCGATTGCGCATCATGTATGAGTGTCACGATGCCCCAACAAGCGGCCATCGTGGTAGAGAAAAGACTTATCTCACGGTAAGTCGCGACTTTTACTGGCCCCGCCAGTATCAGTTTGTTCGCAAGTACATCCGTGCTTGCGAAGTTTGTCAACGGGTGAAGCCTAGTCCTTCATCCCGTGCGCCATTGCAGCCTCTGCCTGTTCCGACAGAGTGCTGGCAGTCCGTTTCAAATGACTTCGTCTTCGGGAAACCCGAAGACGCTCACAAGAATAATGGTATTCTTGTGTTTGTGGACCGATTCAGCAAGATAGTCCATCTTGCTGCAGTCCCTGAGTCAATCAAGGCTCAAGGTTGTGCTCGTGTCTTTCTAGACACGGTCTTTAGACTCCACGGGTTACCCCGTGAACTCGTATCCGACCGTGACCCTCGGTTCACGGCGGAATTTTGGCAAACCGTGTTCCGTACTCTCGGAACACGATTGAAGATGTCCACTTCTGACCATCCAGAAACAGATGGTCAGACGGAACGTGCGAACCGTGTCCTCGAAGAGATCCTTCAAGGATTTGTCCACTCGTTTCCGAGTTGGAGCGAATTCCTACCCATGGTGGAATTCGCCATCAATAATTTGGTGCATGCTTCAGCACAGCACACACCGTTTTACGTGAATGGCCTACGCCATCCACGAGTGCCCACCCTTATAGAGTGTGACTCTTGGATAAGGGGGGAGGGACTCGCTCGAGCAAAAACCGTTTTGGTTCTTGCTTATCACGTGTCGACGCTAACGTCGTCACGTATGATGCCGATGTCGATCAAGTCGACATCGATGAAGAAGATCATCTCAATAATAGCGAAGACGCTATTATTGATTCGGATGATGATGACGATGCTGGTATATTCATCATCGCCAACGATTATGTCAGCGAGGAAGAAGACAACCTCGCTGAAGAAGAGAACAATCTCTTAGCAGTGCGCACGAAGCGCACTGAAAGACAAAACAAAGAGTCAGCAGAGACCTTCCTGCTGACTCGAGAGGCGGTAGTCCGTTTTGTTCAGGACTCCATCGCAAATGCGGTGGACCGTCAGAAACGGAACGCAGACAAGAATGGAAGAGCAAATGTTCTTTCATTTAAGGTTAATGACCTAGTACTACTGTCAACGGTAAACCTACCTGGACATGCAGTCACTAGTGTCGGCAGTAGTAAACTACTGCCGAAATACATTGGGCCATTTCGAGTGTTGCATCGCAAGGGCAATGCATACACACTCGAACTGCCACGTAGGATGCGCACGCATCCTACGTTTTACGTGGGGAGGCTTAGGTCGTACTGTCAGTACGAGCCTTCTTCTTCCGATGAAGATAGCCCCCACGTTCAAGAACATCCATCAAGTTCTTGCGTTCGCGCTCCAGACGATCCGTCTGGTCGCGCAGATATGATACCTCGGTATTCAACCGAGATATCTCCCCGCGAGCTGTCGCCAGCTCGCCGAATAGGGAGCAGACATCCCGCTCGACCTGAAGCTGCGCCGTGGCATAATCGGCGCGATCCCTCGCCCGATCAGCCTCGTGACCCTTGCGGTTCTTCCGCACGGTGTCGGTCAAAGCGTAGCGTCGGTCGCGCTCGTGCTTCAAGTCATCGCGCAATTCATCGATTGCGCGATCCATCTCGTAAGGGTCGAGATGGTGGGCCTGGGGTTCTGGAGGAGGTCTTTCCTCCTCCACCACATCCTTTGGTGGATGCTCACGGTGATCAACGCTTTCTAGTGGAGCGTATCTTGAATCACCGTGACGATTCAGGATCAAGGACGAGCTACCTCGTCCAGTGGCGGGGGTATCCACCCTCTTGGAACAGCTGGGAGCCCCGCTCTCAGCTGTTAATGGATGTTGAAGGTCTCGTCCACCAGTATGACGAGACCCATCCGATGAGTCCTGTGGCCCATCGGTAAACACGCGCCCTAGGCGCTTGTAGACGGATTGCAAGTTTGCAATCGCGTCACGCATCTCGTCCGAGAGATGTGCCCTTCCCCAGGGCGAATTTAGGGAGTACACATCCCTATGTGCACGCTGCGAGTTGTCAACACAACTCGCACAAGGGTCTCCCCATGTGAGGCAAGGAATGCCTGCCTCACTAGATAAACAATGCAACCGGTACCTAGCACCGGTTGGCGTTCGCCGTTCGAACCTGAGGCGTGTTGCCTCAAGTTTCTTGAGCCACCCTTCTCGTCCAAAATTCTTTACGTTTTGGACGAACGCGTTCCACGCAGCCAAAAGCGATGCTTTGTCACGCTTTTGATTGCTGTTGTACCATCGATGTCTAAGAAAGACATCGAGATAAAAGTCTTCTTCAGCGCGAAAGTTACTCGCGCTGGAACTCAAGCCGTGAAGCTCGGTTGCATCGAATAAGGGTATTCGATGGTGTTGGCCTGTCTCGTGAGACAGGCTATTGATAAGTTGTTCGGGCAAACGCCACGGCTTCAACTCATCACGCTTCACAGTGGTACCCTTGTCGGAACCACGGCTTCCAGATTGACGACGGCTCGCGCCATCGTCATCACGCTCGTGCGTAGACGCACGAGCCGGCGGTGGTGAAGAATAGAACTCACCACCCTGATCATCATCATCATCACTGCCGAACAGACTGTGATGCAAATCACGAGTCCGTTCGTTCGGCAGTGGTCTTGGCGAATACTAAGGCGTCGCTGGTGAGCGAGACGCCTCTGGAGCATTGCCCGAGTCAGACACGTCTGACTCGCCAGAGTAGATGACCTCCACATCGGGGTCATCGTGCGCACGCGGCGTGATACCGCGTGCACCTGCAGCACCTGTTGCTGCAGGCGAAGAAGGGGCGGCAGACGACGAAGCGTCTGCCGCAGAGGCTTGCACAGCACCAGGCTGTGTGGGTCTTGAGTCACCTCGCATAGACATGTTAACTATGCGAGGTCAAGCGGAAAGTGAATGGAACGGACCCAACAAGTGCTCCCTGTCCCAATGGTGGCCAACGGGTGGCCTCCATATTTCGATAGTCACACGGTGACTATCAGTTAAGGGGGGGTGATGTAACGGGGCAGCCCGTTACATGAAATTGTCACTTTAAGGAAAGTGACAATAAAGAATATAAAGATGGATATTCTTTAAACAATATCACCAAAGTGGTGATATTGAAGGGTCGACCAAAGGGTCTGTTCATTGGTTGATATCGTGATGATATCAACCCACCAATCGCCGCAAGACGCGCGCAATGAGTGGTGACGAGACGTCACCATACATGCAGTTATATTAGTATAATTGAATTAAGTCAAACGAAGAGACAGTAGTTTAAAGACTTAATTTATTAATATAACAGTTCTACTTTTACCCTACCTACGCTTCCTCGCTTGCCACGTGTACGTCCGTCGGGGCACCCAAATCCCTTGCGTTAAGTTACGCAAGGGTGTGCCCCGTTACAGTTTTACGGTGCAAAGCTGCAGTTTAAGCTGACGCTATTGCTGGAAAAGGTGGTTCGGGACAAGAAGGACCGCGAGGTGGAAGACTCGTACTCGTCGGCACCCATATTAGGCCTCGTGCAGGCCATGCACGATCAGCTCTACACGCACATCTTCAATGTCTGAGGTGAATCATAGGGAAGTAGATTCGATGCTGGCGATGCCAAGTGCTGCATGCCCTCAGCACTGCCACGCTGCACAAACACGCGTAGAACCACATACCTCCGATCCCGGTGCCAGTGCCTTTTTAATCGGCCACCGGTGGTCGGATAGAAAGCTTGCTGGAGAGAGCAACAGCGTCAAGTGGCCTGAAGACCAGACGCAAAGGTGGCCGCCGACCCGTTGACCACAGTGCGCAGGACGACGAGTACACGGTAAAATGAACGAGGAGCACGTCTGAGACGAGGACGGCACAGACAGTGAAGAAACGAACGAGAACGAACGAGGATGTGTCCGTTTTCCCAGCAGTTGTACTAGCGGTGGGCTACTCACTTGGTTCAGCCAACGTCGCAGACGTGGCCGACGGAAGCTGGAAGAAGGACGATAGAGGGACGACAGAAGGACGACAGGAGGACTGGTAGACGCTTGCGCTCGTGTAGATCGTGTTCTTGCAGGCAGCCCGAGGCGATTGGCGTCGAGGGTTGAGATCGGAATGAGCTCCTAGAGCTTCCACTTTGTTGAAGTGGCCCTTGCAGGCCTTTCATCGGGTGAGAGCTGAAGCCATCCGGATAGAGCTGTCCACACTGTGACAAGGCGACGAAGCAGAAGCGACGGAAAACGGCAGCAATCGACCGGTGCGTGAATGCCTCCGAGTCCACGCAGTGTTGAAAGGCCCGAAGGCGAGCAGCAACGAGGTGGCGAGCACATGGCTACACGCACGATCACGCACCCGCGCGGCCCCGAGGACGAGACGCTATGGGACGAGGGACGTCATCTGTTGCGCATGGACCCGTGTCTCATGATGGAGTCGCAAGACGTGGCAGTAGCGTCTTTGAGGTCTTCACAGAAGCACCGACGACATCAGCAGCGCACGGCGAGCGGCCGCTTGTGTCCGCGCACGAAGAGCACGGGGTACAAGAAGGGACCACGTGCGGTGGACTGGAAGCGGCAAGGGACGGCACGACAGGATGCGTCGCGGTACGACGAGAAGGTTGAGGTGTCGGGGCCGGAGGATGATGTGTCGGGGCCGGAGGATGATGTGTCGCGGTTGTAGGCAACGGGTCGGCCCTGTGGAGACAGCGAGCCACGCTTTGCGTGCCTCGATGTGCACGTCGAGCAGATGCTTTCATCTACAGTACAATCGAGAATGGGTCACTTTCGACAAATGCTCGTACACGACGGCAAGGACGAATCTCCGAGAATTGACTCAATTCGCCTTTGCCGCGGCAGTGACGCGCGCTTGCACGACCTATTTTCCGCGCCAGCGATGCGATGTCTACTCCATCCGTCGAGTGTGCAAGTTGAAGGGAGACGAATGCCTGTGAAGGTCGAAGCTGCGACACGCTGTACCATGGCCTCAATGTACGAGGCTTCAGTTACAAGCAGAATCGATAAAAGTGCAGGCGAAGACAACATGCCAAGACCATGTACTCTATTGTATGAACCAGCACAACAAAGAACAGCAAAAGTCATTCACGTCTTGTGGTCACTAGCACGCTAGCCTACTGGTTCTTCTCAGGAGCTCCTTCCGGCTTGTCAAAGTACTCGCTGTCGTCTGCTCTAATGGCGTCTTGGGTGGATCCTTCGTGAGAACGAATGGTAGAATTGTCCGATCCCAACCGAAGCATGCACAGGTCTTCAGCAGTTGTAGTATCCTTGAAGAACATGCCGAACTGCTCCTCGTCGACGAGTTCAATCCCACTTACTGATGATAGAGTTCAGCGTCAAGATTGGAAACGACTTTACCGTTTTTATCAAATATGACCGTCAAACGGCTTGTGGGAGATTCCAGCTCTACTGCGTAAAGCGGGGAAGTGTATCCAAACTTCACTAAATCCTTAAATTCTCTAGCATGTTTAGCACGGGCGTCGGCTTCACGAGAAATGTATCCGGAGATAGAGAGGTCCTCCAGTTGATTCCCGATGCCTTCCACCTCATTTGAGTTGTGTGTCGACGTTAGTATGTGCTTCATGTCATGCTTGCCCAAACTTTTCGCAAAATCAAACGCGAGATCCAAGGCTCTCGATGGATCAATCATGCGCTCGTCACCCGTGTTTTTGTCCGCAGCTTCGGCTACCCGCAGTCGTTGAGATGGGGCTTTTTCGGGATCAGCAGCGTCAGGTGACGAGACCTTCGTCCCGGGCAGGTCCGCGGCGCACACCGCACTGAAGAGCAGTGCGGCACTGACGCAGAGTGCACGGAGGCAGGCGATCCGCATGGTAGAGCTAGGAAGGAATGGTCGACGTGGGACAGGAGCTTGTGGCGCGCAAATTGAATAATGAATCAAGCGGCGTGGCAGCGACCCAGACGAAATGCTTCGATGCAGCTGCTGCCGCAGATAGTCTGCATCACGTCAGCCGACACCACGAGGAGTCCAAACGAGACGGTCTGCGTCGCGGTTGTAGAACAGGTCGCTCACTGCCAGTCATTGTCCTGGCGACGTTTTGACCAGACGCGTGGTCACTCATTGAAATGGTCGTTCCATCATGTTACGCCAATGTGAGTGGACATAAGTGTGAGCGCAGAAAGCCCGCGGGAAACTCCTGTCCGAATACTGCTTCTGTGCAGCTATGCGCATCCTTCGCTCGGGCGAGAACGCTGTAGAAAGATTTCGAGCAACTGTCTCTTATGCAAGTAGCCAGCTCCTCATTCCTTACGGAGGCCAAGTCAATATTGCCGCTCCGAATGTAGCTCTCTCACCTGTATTGTAGCCCATGATATTTGGTCTCTACATTGCGACATATAGATTGGTGCATTCGATGACACAGCTACTACCGACCAGCCATCACTGGCACAAAGTCGTGCGCGGCAAATGGTGTCACACACGCTGGATGTTTTTGTGGAACTCGACCCAACCCAGGATCAGCGATTCCTCGAGTCGTTGCTGTCCAGGAATCTGGTGCGGCGTCAGACGGCGACGATTTGCGCTGAAACTGTCCAGTGAGAGAGGATGGATGGTCGATGGGGCGTCAACGAAGCAGCGAGAGAGAAGCAGACGTGTCTATGTAACCTTTTACTGGCTGCAGGATATCTGACATGGGTTTGGCCTGGTTTGCAACACCGGTAGCCCGTTCGAATCTGGTGGTTGTCCGGCACTGGGCACCGTTGACGACGGCTCTCTTGGTTGCCTACGTAGTTGTCGCAGACGTAGCAGCAGGCGTAGGGCGTCATTGAAGAGGGTGACGACGTCTGAAATGTCATGATCCACTTAAGTAACATCGGTGTCGAATGACCTGCTGGTATAAGTTGACTACCACATGGTGTGACAAACTCGAAGGTGGATGTCAAACAACCCAAAGCATTGCGTCAGACGTATACTTTGCACCCACGCATGTATCTCTCTGCACCCTGAAGGCGACGACGCTCGTACTCGACGCACCACATATCTTACTGGTCAACAAATCCTTCGGGTATCACCTCATCTCCTGATGAACGACTCCGTTTCTCTGCATCCGTAGTGTCGTTGTGCCGACAGAGCACAACTATATGATCGAATGTGGTCCCATTGAGAGACATGCGCCCCTGTGGTATTGCCAACCGTAAGAGGGTAAGCTTGTGGCAGAACGTTGAGATCCAAGTACAGTGTCAAATACGAAAATTATCTTGGCAGATGATGGTGTAAAAACTGCGGCAAAATGCGATTAGTTGTCACGACAATTTTGTCTCAGTGGGTGATATTGTGGAAACTCACCTTTGAAGTTAACATTCGACAACAGTTGACAACGAACTGCTCATTGGCTCATTCAGACTAAACTTTGCGCCACTGTAACCACCAACCAATGCTGGACGCTCGCAACGGGTGCTGAGCAAGAACTCAACAGGCACGTTCGCAGTTGACGATAGTTAGAGGTAAGCTTAGGAAAGAGTAATATTAAGACAAAATTACATGAGTACCGATGCCTTTTTCCTATCGATCTGAGTTTGTCCAGACAGTTGACTGCACTTCCTCTGCACGTCACTAAAAGCGGAGATCGGGTGCTCCGGAACATCACGTCACTGCAAACATGGTATTTCAGGGCACCCGATCTCTGCGTTCACCGCCGTAGGGGATTATGCTGTCATCAGTATAAACGTGTGGCGTCCTGCTTTATCGTGTGGTGGGTCTGCGCAAGCGGATGGCTATCAGTACGGTTGACATGTGAACGTATTGTGTGATACCAGTATGTACAATTCGCAATTCGATTAGCACGGGTCCAAATAACATTCGTGCGCGCATGCCAAGCAATCGCACGTCACTACCTTGTGTTGGACGACAACCATTGGGACGACTATTTTTCGTGTGATTGGGGAATGATGAACATGGCAAATGACGTTGTCCGATAGATGTACCAGCCATGCGTGGTTAGCGTGTAAAGTAAGCTCTGTTATAGCACGACTGCACATGGAAGGAAAGAATTGAAATGGTATCAAGATCAGATGCTAACTTAGTAATAAACAAAATCGAACCTTTCGTTTACACCCCGCTCGTCACCTTTCTCCCAGCTGATGACGTAGAATGACAACCTATACGTGCACCAGCTGAGACGTTTGGTGCTAAAAGAGACCGACGCCGAATCGCATTACGGATCTTAAGCCACATGGTGTCATTGAATCCTTTCTTGGTGACTGCATCGGCATCGTACTAACCGACATAGGTTCAAAGTTATCATCAGATAAAACAAATCGACCAGTGTTTTTGTGCGTGCGTGCGTGTGCGTGTGCCATACACCCTCTACGTGCCCGGCCGAGACGGCTTGCATTAGCATGGGTGCGAACTGCATACATCAGAACCCCTCTTAGCTAGTACGATTTGGCGGATGAAACAATACGAGGCAACGAGGATATTAGGTAGGAGGGGTTGGGTAGTCACGTGGTTTATCTCTCTTGCTCAACGTCGGGCCGGCAACTTCAGTAACTACAAGGGGTTAGTAGCGAATAGGGAATGAGCAAGAGGCTTTCTACTGTCGAAGAGGCATAAGACCCTGCGCTTTCTGAACGAACGAAACCGGATGGGACGGTTCACACAATGCCATGTTTATTGCTACGTTCAACGGCATGCACTGCTACATGTGGCAATGTGTAGACAACATGCGTCAATCATGTTCAGACTGAATGGAAGCGCTATAAGAGAGCCACCATGAAAGCTGAGAAAAGTGGTTGCTGTCTTGGCCTGATGCTTGGAAATCGAGCAATCTCCCATCAGCTGAAAACGATCGTAGAATAAAAGTGTCCGATGTCTGGAATGTAGAACGTGACCTGGAAACGTATATGGCGCGACTTGCACCTCACGGCATTACTCAGCCGTTTGAAGTTGATGTATTGAGAAATTAGGGCCTGTCGTAGAAACGTAACTGCGCGAGATGTCTGGTGTTATTTGGACAGTAACCATGTGAAAGCCCTGCGAATCGGCGTTACCACAGCTACTTTATTTTTGCACTTGATAAAGTTGAGCTTTGTATCATACAGCAGACTGTACGAAAAAAGAATGCCCCGAACACGGTCCGCGAATGCTGTAAAACCCGTCGGAAACAAGCAAGCCGTGCGTTGGCGGACAAAGTATATTGGCACAATGCGGTTTTATAGCCACGAATGATGCAGCCAACGTAGACGTGCACTTGTTCGGCGCACAGCCGCAATTCTGCACCAGTAGTTGATGCAGATAGATAGACTACACGTGAAAATGAAGCATAATCGAAATGGCGGGCGCAAAATGGCCAGGAACCTTAAAGTTTGCGCACTGAGTTCAAAATTGCGGTCTTGACATTGCTAACTTGATCGAGGAATTTTTTCGCGTTACCTGAATCGCCGAATTTATGAAGAAGGGCTTATATACTGATTTGTTTTTCAGCGTCTGAAGCTCACCATGTAACTTCGTCTTTTTGGGTTAACCCAACACTAAACAGTGGCATCAGGAGATGTATCGTAATGTTTGGGGCTGTATTGACATAAGTGAAATGCTTCGCTTCTAAGCTTCTCGAGGAGAGAATCCAGCGTCATATCAATATTTATAAATGCGGATTTATAAATATCGCATGTATATGTCTCTGCGACATTCGCTAAAGCCTATTTTTATAA